GGCCCACAAGGAGACCTTTGTGCCGTGCTGCAGAGGACGGCCCGCACCCGCTGCAGGGAGGCAGGCATTTCAGGACGCTGAGTAATGCTGGGGAGAGAGGAGGAGGGAGCGACTTTTGTGTCCTCCCACCTCACTCTGCAAAGCCTGCACTCTGTGCACCCTGTGCGCAGGCTCAGAGAAGCTTAGTGTGCCTGTTCCCCAGCCCTAGCTGTTCTTTCCTATACTGCTGACCCCCTTGGGGCCCTTCCTGTTTTGCAGAAGTATAGTATCTCCATGGTGTGAGGAACTCGCTCCTTCTGTGCAGCTCCTAACAGAGATCAAGAGGTACTAAAAGAATGTACGGTAGTGGTTGGAGGACTGGATGGAATAATTCATCTGTAAAGACAGAACTGTTAGGAGCTAGGCCAATGTCTTCATTTAGCAAATGGAAGAAATGTAAACCCAGAAGGATGTACTCTTCCATGCTAGGTGTATTTTACTGTGTGGTTCAGGGAAAGCCCCCTGGGCATGACTGACAAGGAAGGGTCAGATTGGTAACACCCTAGGGGACTTACTAAGGCCTATAAAAGAAGTCAGAGGAGCAGCAGGCAGGGCTCCAGACACTGCAGCAAGCATAAGCATTTGTTGGACAGTTGGTCTACACTAGGCATGAATGACTAATCTACGTGGCCCTGAGAAAGGTGTTGTTCCTGACAAAAGTCATTGGGAAGTCTTTGCCCTCCAGTCAGTCCGTTGCCAGTGGTGGTAACTCGCTGGCCATGGACTATTCGACAGAAACTAAGTAACAGCCCATAGCCCAGAAGCTCATTTCGTGGGGACCTTGGAGGTCTCAGCTAACACAGCCCACTTTCAGTTACCTAAAAAGTAGCATGCCAAATGATCTGACATGTTCTACCTGTGAAAAGACAGTGATTCATCTACCACATCCGGGAGTACCAGCATCTATAAACCTCCTTCCCACTGGGGAGATGCTGACCCACCACCACCCACTCACAGCACGAGCAGACTAGGCATTGCTCTAAAGTCTCTCTTCCCGATTCCTGTGCTGATGCTCCTAGCCAAACAGCAGGCTTACTGTGCAGACAAGCCCACACCAGAGCATGCTGATGGGAGTCAGGCGGTCCAGATGCCATCCATCTGTAAGCTAGAATCATCCCCTGCCTCTGGTGTTTGCTTATTTCTCAACTGAAGCCAACTTTGAGTTAAGGATGACTGTCATGCTCAAAACTTACTCAGTTACCTAGAGTTTAAAGACAAGGAATCCAGAGCATGTTCTGTACCCAAAGACGGTGACTGAGAAGTCATGGATTCCAACCTTCTCCCTCCACACTGCTAACAGAAACAATAAAGACGAGCAACAGCTGGGGGCTTGCTGGATGACAAACAGAGGGCTTGACACTTCCCACGCTTCTTCGTGTAATCCCCACAGCAACACTGTGAGACTTACATTTGCAGGTGAGGGTTGAAGTGCGATCTGTGAGGAAATGCGGCCAAGTTGTGGCTACTGAGTACAAGAGCTGGCATTCAGAGCAGTGTGTCTGCCTCTCTAATATCTTAACCATCCCACTCCCGGGCTGAGCAAAGCAAGGTATGTCCCGTAATTAAACCCTGGTTCTTCTGGGTCCTGTCCTAGACAAAGGCAACTCTCTGAGTAGGGAAATGGCATAGACTCCCCTGTCGGGTTACCAAAGTTTCTCAGAGTATTGGCCTTGGCCTTGTCAGTTTGGGGATTAGTTTGGATCAATTTCTGGGGGAGAAACAGGTTCAGGCAGTCTGATGGAGGTTGACTCAATCCACAGGGACTGAGCCAAACCCAATTAATTGTTTCACCTGGGAGATAACACTGCCTGGAAAGAAGACTGTGGCCAAGGGCACTGGCTTTGGAGTAGGAGGCAGCTGGGTTTGAAGTTCTCTTCATCACTTCCTGTGAATCCAGACATCCTGTTCACTCTTTGCCTCCTATCATCAGACACTGAAGTTGGGGTGAGAAATGGCATCTTGTGTGATGACTGTGCCTTAAGTAGAATACGGGGCACAAAGTAGCTAGCGGGAATGGTTGGTGTTTAGTAGATGCTCAATACATGGCAATCATTACAATATTCATTATGAATTGCATTTGGAAACTAGCTTTGGACATTGTTTAAAATCTCTTCTAGCTAGTAGGTAGGTCCTACCCCCGAAAAAGAACAAAGGGAGGAAATTTCAACTCAAAAGGTTACTGGGAAAGCTTAATTCAATGGAGGGGCCTTAGCCCTCAGCCTCTCATAGATGTACTAGTGGTACCCACCCCTTGCCCATCATCCCAAAGCATTTCTGTTCAAATGTCTAATGCTGCTTCAAGATTCAGAATGCTGTCTTCCCCTGGACAGAGCTGCTCATAGCAGGGCTGACTGGTTCTGACCTGCTACCTCTCCCTCCGACTTCCAGTGGTGAACTCTTGTTCTCCCTGTGAAGCCCTGGTCACATACACCTTCATCTGTGAGACTATCCCAGCTGACCAGGAAGTGACCACATGCTCACCAGGCATCAGTACATCTCAGGTACAGAGTCACAGCCATGAGAAACACCACAACTTTCTTTCTGAGCTTGACATCTAGTGGGGCAAGAACAGGCCAAGAAGCAAACCCAGTCATTACAGCTTCTGCCAACTGTGTGTGTGTGGTGGTGGTGGGGGGAGAACACCATGCTGTGACTGAGAAACCAGGAGGGAGAAGTGACTAGAAAAGGCCTCCGTGGGGAAGAAGCATTTAGCCTGAGGCCTGAAGGACAGAGGGGAGCCAGCCCTGCCAAGATCTGGGAACAGAGGGTTCCTGGCATAAGGAACAGCATTTCTCTTTGGAGGAGGGAAAGAACTTGATGTGTTTCTCAAGATCCGTCCAGGATGGAGCAGATGGTGGAAGGGTGGGGAGGAAGAGCCGTGGCGGTCAGGGGCCGCTCCCCTCCCCTGTGCGCTGCTTCCCTCCCCTCCCCTGTGCACTTTGTACCCAGCTGGATGTTTGGTGTAGAAGCAGACACCTTGACACTTACTGAGCACCTACTCTGTGCTGAGCACTGTGCGGGCGCTTTACTCCTCTCTCATTAGAGCCTCTGTCTCGCAGCCACCTATCCCCCTACACAAATGTCTCCATGTGTGCTCTTGTCCTATTAAAGTGTTGTCATTATCTCCCTGTGGCATTTTGTCCTCTCTGTCCATCCCCTCCCCAATAGTCCATAAGCTCCACTCTCAGGCTTCTTGGTATCTCAGCACGTCAAACTAAAAATGTGTTGTCGTTTTGGAAAAGTTTCAGACAGTACTTAAGCCCCTTCCTTCCCTTTGTCTTGGGCAGCTCCACTTGTAGGAGATGATAATAATAGAAATGGATGCTTTTCAGATCAAGTTTGTGGAAACACAATGGATGCCTTGCTGCCACAATTGATTTGGTAGCACCCTGATGAGTGTGGTTTAGGCGAACAAGTTCTTGCTACAACACACAGGGGTCAGTCACTCCCTTTATATGTTAGCATCTACTATAGAGAGTGAGGATCCCAGGCTGGCCTGCAATAAAGCAAGGTGGTCTGGACAAATCATGTAGACTCCACTGCCTAGAGCAGGGACAGGCCCATCTGTTCTATACATCTTCACTAGGAACCCACCATGATCTCTGTAGACCCTGTGATAGAAGTCCTAGCAGATAGAAAGATAGATTCAGCTTTAAAGTTGACTGTGTACAAGGCTAAAACTGAAGTACCAGAAATATAGTTATGGGAAGAAAGTGAACTTTGAACTTTAGTGCGTAAGTAATAGAAAAGGGAAAGACGTTTTCATCTTTAATTTTATTTCTTTTTTAGCACGTGATTATAAAGAATGCTGTTTTGAAAGGGTCATTTGAGGGAAGTAAAGGAGAAAACTGACGAAGGGCTTGCAGCAATGAACAGGGAGTGTGGCAGGCATTTGGAGACTGTGTGGGAGATTACTATGTGATGTTAGGGGCCTACAGCAGTTGCTTTATTCAGATTGGGAGCAAGTCCTGGGGCTGAGACCAAGTCCAGAAACGGAGTGAGGAATGTGGGGGTGAGGGTGTAGAGCAGGATCCTTAACTATGGAGATGATAATCAAAGTTTACCAACCCCAGACTCCAGAAGCCAGAGACCACTGAGATGTGACACGGCATGGAAGAATACAGGCCTTGGGTTGGAATCGGATTCTCGTCCAGTCTCTGCCATTGATTAGCTGTGTAACTAGTATGAGTCACTTCAGTTTCTGAGCCTGCTTCCTCCGTTGCACAATGGGGGTTACAACTTCTAACCCTCAAGCTGTAATGTGTAATAAGACGAGCAAAGCTACCTTAGAGTGGAGCTAAGAATCCAGACCTTTCTCCAGGTGTTCCTCTGCTGCCTCCCTGCTTGCTGTTATCTTCTGTCAGCATATGACTTCTGGCAAAGGACACGCTTTCAACTCTACAATTCCTAAAGAACTTTGTCAGATCAGGTTTCAGGCTACAGAACATCCAAAGAAGCCGTTGCTCTAAGGGAATTATTATCTAGTCTCTAAATAATATGGCCATGTCTGATTCTTACACACCTCACATGGAATTTAGTGTACCTTCCTATTTGGGTTTGATTCTCAAGCAAGAAAAAAAAAATTACTTAACACAGTGAAAAGGTGATTATATTATTATGGTCATTGGAAAAGGGGCATATGGATTTCTCCCATCATTTTCAACTTGACCCTTCCTCCAAAGCCAACTATAGAGTGTTAGCAGAGAAGGAAAAGTATTCTGCCTGGGGAGCTGGACTTGTCAGGATGGTCGGGTACCTTCTGTGTCTGGGACCTGCATCTGCAAATGAGTAAACAATGCATGATCTCTACTTTAAAAGTGAGTCAGGATGGGGATGTGATAGACCAGATGTCTTCTTCCTCTCAAAATCACCAAATTAAAGTGCAGGGATCTGAAGCAGAGCAAATTTTCAAGTGTGTTTTAGCCCATTCTGGTTGCTGTAACAGAATACTGCAAACTGGGTAGCTCATGAATAAGAGAAGTTTATTCCTCACAGTTCCGAAAGCTGGAATATCCACCATCAAGTTGCCGATAGATTTGGTGAATAAGAGGTTTTTTGGTTCATAAATGCTGGCTTCTTGCTATGGTCACGTGGTGGGGAAAACTGGAAGATCTCTGGGGGTCTCTTTTATAAGGACTTTAATCCCATTCACTAGTGCCGCACATCACCATTCAGTCACCCAATAGACCAGCTCCTCAAATCATCACAATTAAGGTTGCATTTCCACATATTGGGGAAGGAGGCCATGTCTGAAAATTCAAGGCACAGCATACCAGCCTTGTGTTAACAGGGAAGACAAAACATAGACATAAGGACCTAGATGGTGCATGGGGTGGGAATGGGGAGTGGGGTGCTTCAATTTCAAGAAAACTGAAAGAAACTCCCTTGGGGGCAACTGTTATCTCTTTGAGTAAACTATGATCTCAGCCTCCAGAACCCCATGTTAACTGTGACGGGAGGTGTCTATAGGTCTACAAGGTGCTAGGCTCCATGTTAACTGCAAGGAGGTATGTTAGCCTGGGTCTCACACAAGTGTACCCAGCACAGGCTGGTAGTTTCTGTGAAGATCTCAGGAAAGGGTAGTAAGAAAGCAAGAAGAATGAAAAAAGGAAAAGAAGAAAATAAAACCTAAAGAAGAAAATACAACTTGGGAGTAAACTACTGATCTGGCACAAAGGGAAGCAGGCTTGAAAACTCTACCCCACCTCTAGCAGACCACGCAGAAGCTCCACCCAGAGGTCACAGCAGAAAGATTCTGAAAAGCCAGATGACAGTATGGGTTTTCTCAGGCATGGGGAGGAGAAGACACATCCCTGTCAAGAAAACCTGGGGCAGAAAGCAGGGAGCTGAAAGCAGGTGCAACAGCCAGCCAGGACAAGCCTGGCCAATGAAGGAGCAGTCTAAGAGGTGAGGGAGGGAGGAGGCCTTGGAGGAGGGAGAGAAGTCAGCTCTCACCAGCACTCACTGCTCTCCAAACTTCCTGTAGCACTAACCGGTCTAATCTTGTAAGGACGTATTATGCCCAAAGGATTCTGGGTAATCGGGTTTCTGGGAAAACTAGGGATGATGAACAGAAAAAAAGAAAAGGAACGAAGCAGGGAAGAGGAATTTCTGGAACCTTGGGTTCAAATTTCCTAGTTCATTTCATTAATGTTTTCAAAATTATGGTTTCCTTTTTGTAATCATTGCAGTCTAAATTTATGCCCTTAATAAAAAGTGCAAACACAACAGCACATGTGAGTTTCCTATTCCAGGTTCCAGGCACTCTCCCCAGAATTCATGCCACTAAGAGTTTCTGTGGATTTCTCCAGAGATATTCTATGTATGTAAATATACATGTATGTTTTTTAAAATCGCAACTGAACATAGGCTTAGTGGTGAACATTGTAGTCTCAACACACAGGAGGCTGAGGCAGGAGGATCAAAAATTCAAGACCAGTATGACTCCATAGTGAGTTTCTGGCCAACATGGACCCTGTCTTAAAAAAAATAGAAAATATATAAATACATTTTTCTCTGCTTTGAGGAATGTTTCATATAAACATATGCAAATATATACTTCATTGAAAAATTCCGTCACAACATCCCTCTAACTTGACTCTCACAGTTTATCAGTCTCCCTCTGATAGGCCCTTGTGTTGTTCACACATCTTTTTTTTCTAAACACACTCACGTTGTCCTTCTCTGTGCACGTGTCTCAAGCCATTTGTAAGAAACCTTTCCAGGGGCCAATTTATCAGAGACTCTGTGCACTTAAACTTTTGTAGAGTTTGTCAAGTTGACTTGAAGGATCCCTGCCACAAGAGAGCCTGCTGGGGTCACCGCCTCCTCACCGCTCCACAAACTTTAGGGAATCTAAAGGATGAAAAGTCAACTTGAAGGTTGTTCCACTTTTCATCTACTTAGTTGTTTGTGCTAGTCAACATCTTATCATCTTTTGATGAGTAGCCCTTTGCCTCTTTCTGGGACTGCCTGTTTAAAAACTAAATTGACAGACACACGCAAACTGCTTGTAGGCTAAACTCCAAAGCAGCATTAGTCATAAGCCTGCAGGGGACAAAGCGGAGCATCCAGCCCCTGTCACAGGAGGAGGCCTAACCCAGCCAAAGGCACATACTATACTGAGAGTGTCACTGGGTGAATAAAGAGTGCCACACACAGGGTTAGGTCAGCCAACTCGACAGGGGTCTAGGAGACACCTGGAGAAAGTTACCTTTCAACCAAAACCCAGAGGGGCATTTCAGAGTTAAAGGGGCAGAGGAGGCGGGACAAATCATTCCCTGAGGAATACCAGGCTCCAAGATGGTAAGTGGGAGGAAATTCAGGTAAAAACAGTGTAGGATGGTGGGGAGGGGTGGGGCCAGGGGATGAAGGGAAGGGTGGGTGATTACTGACTTCTCAGTTCGTCTGGGATCAAGAGGAATACAGGACAGCAGTTGAAGACTCAGGGAAGTCCCCTCCTAGCCTAGATGACCACCATATATCTTCAATGCTGCACGGCAGAGCTACTGAGGATTGGGAACTTTCTCGGAGACTGCAAGGACAAGTTTCCCCCACAGTTCCAGTTTCACAGTGTCGTGGAGTCTGTGAAGGATGTGAAGGTAGAAGTGGGTAGTGTGGCAAAGGCAGAAATGACACATCAGCTGGGTGGCACTTTGTAGCACGATAAGCCAGTGACAGGGTCCCCATCATGCGCAAACCCAGGAGGGCCCAAGACACCTCCTCATCAGGGACTGCCTCTTCTGTGTTTGCTCCACCGGAGCCGTGGCATGCCTTAGACATCCTGCCCTCTCATTCCACATGGGCCCCAACCCCATGCTAGGCCAGGTCATCCTGTGAACCCCCTCTCCCTTCCTAACGATGCTGCCTTAGCATCGTCACAGACAACACAGAGGTCAGCATGACTACTTTGGGAGCTGTACCTTTCTGAGGAGCAACAGGCATCCTGTCAGGGGTGATGTCCAGTGGAAGAAGCTAAAGAGAGTTCAGAATTCACTCTGCAAAGCCAGCATCTGGGAACTACCCGGAGGTCTCCTTCAAGAAACAGTTTCATATCTAGGTCGACAGTTGAAGAGTGATCTGGGACAGACATAATTTTGGACAATTCACCTTTACAAAGCTGAAACTAAAAGTCACTGAAAAAAACCAGAACACCCAATGGTATAGAGGAAAGTTGGATTCAGGATTATAACAATAATTCCACTAACTAAAAGAAAGGTTAAAGAAAAATAGTTTACAATCAAAGTACATTATGTAGGTACATGAGAATGCCACAGTAAAGCCCATCATTTTGTAGAATAAACATGCATAATCATAACTAAAAGCAATTCAGGTTAAGGTGACAATTAAGGTATTTGGTGACATGGTCTTTTGTGTAGATCTGCTTCATGGGCTCTCTGCCTGTAAGTTAAACTGCCTCTGCCTCAGCCTGCAGTATCAGGGCAGTGCTGAGGGCTGAGGCCTTGGAACACAGCATGCTGTTATTTGCCAAGGTCAATCCAGTAGGAGGCCTGAGGAGTGCTGATTCCCACCCCAGTGTCTTCAAACATTGTCTGTTAGAGTGGGAGGTCATCCATCCTGCTCCTCTTTGAATGTGCGTGTCTGACTCAGCTCACAGGGAAGGCACGGGGTTTGCAGCTGGAGAGGACCGTTTGCAGGACACCAAGGTCAGAGAAGTGAACAGGGCTTAGGGAGGGAGGCCACGAGGTTCACATCCGATGGCTACAGCCTGTGCTCCCAGAGTTCACAGCTCTCTGCTGAGGGACAGCACTACCCTCAAGTCCACCCTTGCTATGTCCTGAAAGTTCTAGTTGAAGTTAGGCACGGAAGTGGTAGATCAGAACTGCAGGAAAGAGTCGAGTTAGAAGGGATCATCATGCTCTCCCAGGTTCCATTCTGAGGGGATCTTGGCCAAGTCTCTGGCTGCGCCCACCTACAGAGCAAGGAGCACAAACACTTCCTTGCCCGGGGCCTGTTCCCTCTCACTCTACAAGACTGGTCAAGGCCTATGTAGCCATCCTAATACTTTGTAATAACAGGTATGTTTTGTGTCTGAGCTGTTTGGCACGGTCACTGTTAGCTGCCTGTAACTACTGCATACCTGAGATTCATTACTATGGATGAGAAACATTTGTTATTGTTTGGTTTTTCGAGACAGGGTTTATCAGTGTAGCTTTGGAGCCTGTCCTGGAACTCACTCTGTAGACCAGGCTGGACCCATGGAGATTCACCTGCCTCTGCTTCCCAAGTGCTGATATTAAAGGTGTGTGCCACCACTGCCTGCTTAATAAAATGGGTTTTTATAATGTATTCAATCATTTCTGGTGTCTGTAAAATAATACCATAGAGGAGATGAGTTCTAAAGAAAGGGGTTTACTGTAACTTGTGGCCTTAGAGGTACAAGGTTGAAGGACCACATCTGGTGATGGCTTTCTGACTGCAGAGTCCAGGAATAGCAAAGAACATCTGGCAGGGACTTGAGAGTACACATGGATTTTTTTTGTTTGTTTGTTTTGTTTTTCAAGACAGGGTTTCTCTGTATTGTCTTGGAGGCTATCCTGGAACTAGCTCTGTAGACCAGGCTGGTCTCGAACTCACAAAGATCCACCTGCCTCTGCCTCCCGAGTGCTGGGATTAAAGGCGTGTGCCACCAACGCCCGGCTTACACAGGGAGTTTTGAGTATGTATTCTGCCCTTTCATCCTCCTTAGGAAGCCACCAGGATTCAGTTCTAGGGACTCCATCCTGATGACTTTATCTAAAACTAGTAATTTCCAAGGGCCTCACCTCTAAGCACCATAGTCAGATTAGGTTTCCACACTTTTGATATGTCACAGCAGAGACCAGTTTATAACACATGAAAGCATAGCACATAGCCACACACGGCTCCTGGCTACTGTATTGTACAGCATGCCTGTATGATGCCCAGTTCTACTGAATACCATTGTTTTGCTCGGAACCAAAGCAGACGCTTGAGGGAGACTTTCTGGGAGCCTTGTTCCTGGAAGGCTGTGCAGGGCTCCATCAACCAAGAATCTCTCCAACAGACCCCCATTGCTCCTTTTTATACTTCCTTTATTCAAAGTCTGGAAAAAACCAATCCCTTCCTTTGAGAGGCTCCCAGACCTTTTAGAAAAGACAGAAATTGTCTGTTCAATCCAAGAGGCCACAAAGGGATTTTCCCTGGGGCAACAGTCTATCCGGCACACTAGGAGCATCGAGATGGGAACTTGTTAGATATGCAAATCTGGGGCCACACCCGGACTCTTGGATCGGAAGTTCCTGGGGTGGAGCTGACAATCTGTGTTTTAACAAGCCTGCTCACTCCGATGCCCTATGAAGGCTTGGGGCAATGGTGGGTGGGGGTGAAGGGAACACGGGGCTCAGGATTCTCAGGAGAGACCCAAGAACTGGCACATGAGTCTGTCAAAGAGTTCAACAGGCAGGGCATGCCCGGGCAGAGGGCTTGCACCGCATACCACTGCCATTGAGTTCTGAGTGCCTACTGATGCTCGTTTAGTAATCGTAAAATAATAGTTTGTCTATATTGCACTGTTTCGGGTAAGTTGCAGGGCATTTTAAAATAAAATTGCATTGTTTAAGAAAATGTTCTTGCTTATGACTTCCTTTGAATTCTAAATTTAACTAATGATTATTGTGGGTTAAAGTTCAGAAAGCCCAGTTCATTTACCTGTGGAATTCCTCCAATCTCTTCCCTTTGACTCCTATAAAGAAAGCGTAAACTTTTAACCATAAACACAACTCTTCAAAGACATGAGAAGACTAGCTAAAATGCTGCTGCTTAAAATCCACTTTTTCGAGGCAGTGGTAGCACACTCAGCACTCAGAAGGCAGAGACAGGCAGATGTCTGAGTTTGAGGCCAGCCTGAACTACAGAGTGAGTTCCAGGAGAGCCAGAGCCATTACACAGAGAAACCCTATCTCAAAACCTCCAAAATAATTGCAATAAAATAAATAATATAAAACTGATAAAGTAAAATGCCAATTTTTCTTTTTTCTCAGATGCTTATTTTCTCTATCAACTTAATTCCCCAAGAAGTCTGTGTACCTACCATCTTCCCACACACACCTACCACCTGGCATTGAACAAACAACTAGTTTAGTTAAACTAGTTAAGGCTGGACAAAACTAAGGACAAAGTGCTAAGTGGAAGCCTTCCTTAAACATTCTTTCTTGTCTGGATGGTGCTCTGAAATTTCCTCTGTTAGTGAAAAATAAAAATAAAAACCATAAACCACAGGTTCAGGGTCAGACACACTCGGGCTCAGGTTTTAGCTTTGCTGCTTGCTAGGGAGCCATTGACTTCTTTGTCTTTTTTCTCACGTCCTTGACTGTACCAGGAGTCATACTATATGAGGGCAAAGTTCAAGGAGGCATGTATAAAGTAGCTAGCACTTAGTAATAAACATCTGAAAATCTACATCTTAACATTGGTGTGTTTTGCCGTGGATGCCGGGAACCCTAGAACTGGAATTACAGACAGTTGTGAGCTGCCGTGTGGATGCTGGGAATTGAACCCAGGTCCTCTGTATAGTGGCATCTTGCCTTGCCAGTGAACTTGTAATAGTGGCCACACCCTTTAAGGTAGAGGAGCCGCAGATGGGCGCTCTCTTGGGTCGGGAGAGCATCGAAAGGGCAGAGGCTGCGTCTTCTGGAGCAAGAAGGCCTTGGCGATTACTTGCTCTTATCTGTGTAAGTTGTTCCCTAATAAAACACCTGTTTATCTTTTCTCTTGGGTCTGGTGAACTCATTTAAACCCCACCTTCACCTCTGGAAGAGCAGCTGGTGCTCTTCACCACTGAGCCGGCTCTGCAGTCCGAGGCTTGCTTTTTATAAGGAGATACAGTACACGTGCATAGGGAGAGTGCTCTGCTCTGTGGCTGCATCTTGGTGGCTGCTGCTGGTGTGTCCTGCTAGGTCCCAGAGGGCAGGTGTGAATGCCAATACCTGCATGAAGCTTTTGAAATGTTTATCTTATTTATTACTATTAGTGTGAGGGGTATGGGCATGTGGAGTGCACATGTGGAGGTCAGAGGATGACATGATGGGGTCCGTTCTCTCTTCTCATTGTTACATGGGGTCCTGGGGATTAAACCCAGGGACCGGGCTTGCTCATCAGGCACCTTCACTGCTGAGCCGGCTCACCTGCCCCAGGGTTAATAAGAGCCAAGTGCAGGGACACCTGGAACTTGGTGAGCACATGGTTGAGGGTGGACAGTGTTAGTGCAGTCACTCTCAGTTCTCACTCCAGACAAGAAAGGCTGATAGGGAGCTGTGATCTGCTTATTAGCAACGTACTTCCACACGCCCAGCTTTCTGGAGCTTTAACAACTCCCAAAGCACCACACATCTATGAAGACTCACTCTTTCTCTTGAGTCTAGAACATCTTTATTGCTCCCTTTGTATTATTGACTGGGTTCTGATAGATCTCAGTGGTTGCTTGATCTATTCCATGATACAGCCATTTCGCTACAATCCCATTCAGTGATTTAGAAATTTTTTAGGAAGAAGAGACAGACAGAACAATTGTTTGATTCTTCTAATTTGTTACATAAAGGAATTAGGAAGACAAAGTTAAGAATCTAAAATTTAAGCAGAGCATGGTGACCCATATGGTTAGTCCCAAGAACTCAGGAGGCTGAGGCAGGTGGACCTTCCAGGCTAGCCTGATTTACTTAGCAAACTCTAGGCCAGAGAAGGTTACCTAGTGAGACTTTGTCTTAAAAATACATGCATGCATGCATACATACATACATACATACATAAAAATAAATTCAAATTTCACAAATGTGCTTTTTTACTTTAAAAAATATTATTAGGGTTGGAGAAATGGCTCAGCAATTAAGAGCACTGGATTTTCTTCCAGAGAACCCAGGTTCAATTCCCAGCACCCACATGGAAGTTTATAACTGTCTGTAGCTCCAGTTCCAGGGGATCTGACACCCTCATAGAGATGTATATGCAAGCAAAACACCAATGCACATTAAATAAAAATAAATAAGTCACTTTAGAACATTTTTATCTCTCTAATCCTTAAAAAAATGAACTGATTCAAACCTAGCATGGTGGCACACATTGCAATCCCAGCACTCAAGAGGCTGAGGCAGGAGAATTGAAAAGTAACTAATACACTCTTACAAACTCAGAAGCATCACCAAAAGTGGCCATAGTTTATCAAATCAGCAAAAGCAAATGGCTGGAGAAGATAGACAGGTGATCTTCAGAATAAGGGCCCACATTGTCTAGGTGGCCACAGTCCCTCCCCCCTCTTCACGGTGAGCCTGGCTTGTGTCCCCCATCTGTAGTTTCTGTGTGGACCCTCAGAGCATTTGGGTTGTTACTGTAACCTAACACAAAGCTTTCAGGGCACAGGTAAAACTTGGTCAACGTGACATAATAATTTGTGCCCAGAACTGAAAGAAAGGATTCGTGTCATATGACTCCTTGCCCAGAGCGTGTTTTGTTTCCAGCCTTCCTGAAATATAATTGACGTAGGATAGACTGTACACATTTGAAATAAACAGTTGTCTGAATTGAGACCCATGTTGTCCTAGCTACACCTCTATCATTGTGATAAGACACCATGACCAAGGTTGCTTACGAAGAAAGTACTTACTGGGAGCTTGCTCACAGTTCCAGAACATTAGGGTTCTTCATCGTGGCACCAGCAGGCAGCAGGCGTGGCGCTGGAGCAGCAGCTGAGAGCTCACATTCGATCCGCAAGCACAAGGCAGAGAGAGATGGCGAGCTCGTCAGGAACGATGTGGGCTGTTGCAGCCTCAGATCCCAACCCCCAGTGACACACCTTTTCAACAAGGCCTTTCTAACCTTTCCCAAACAGTTCTGCCATCTGGGGAGCAAATATTCAAATATATGAGCACAAGGCGGCCACTGTCACTTAAACCACCAGCGTGTATACTCATAAACAGTTGCCAGAATACGAGCGTCCATTATTTCCAACTTCCTTCATGCTCCTTGGCAAGGCCGTCTCTCCATCATCTCGTCTTACACCCCAGTCTTCAGCAACACTGGTAGGCTTCCTGTCATTTCACAGCCCCTAGTAGGAAGTAAACTTTACCATCGAGCTACACCCTGGTTCAACTATTTGTATCTTTTCCAAAAATATTTCATTTTCACTTTTTGTTTGTGTGTGTGTGTGTGTGTGTGTGTGTGTCTCGCATGTGCAGATGCCCAGAAAGACCAGAAGAGAGCATCAGATCCTATCCCCCAGAGCTAGAGTTATGTAAACTACCTGATGTGGGACCTGGGATGCCAACTCAGATCCTCTGGAAGAGCAGCAAGTGCTCTTAACCAATGAGCCACCTCTCCAGCCCCTCAGCTGGTTGCAGTTTTGTAGCCAGCAAACCATCTTGAGATTCATCCATGTTCTTAGACATTCTAGTAGCTCACTCCATTTTAATTTTACTCAGAATGTTGTTGCATAGCTACACCATTTGTAATTTGTACTATTGACAGATATCTGGGTTGTTTCCAGTTTGGGGATGTTACAAACACAGCTAGAAGGAAGCAGTCTGAGCAAGCCATGAGGAGCAAGCCAGTAAGCAGCACCCCTCCATGGCCTCTGCATTAGTCCCAGCCTTCAGGTTCCTGCCCCGGTTAAGTTCCTGTCCTGATTTCCCTCCGTGATGAACTTACTAGGAAGTATAAACAGAAGTAAACTCTTTCCTCCCCAATTGGTTTTTGTCAAGGTATTTCATCCCAGCAATAGAAACCCCAAGATGAATCTGAAAAGAATGGCCTATTTTATGAGTAGTTGGGTCATTTTGCTCACCCACAGAAGTTTCCCATATTCTTTTTAGTGATTTATTTTTATTTTACAGGCATTGCTGTTTTGCCTGAGTGTGTCTGTATGAGGGTGATGGATCTCTTGGAACTGGAGTTACAGACAATTGTGAGCTGCCATGTGGGTGCTGGGAATTGAACCTGGGTCCTCTCGAAGAGCACAGTGCTCTTAACCTCTGAGCCACTTTCTCCACGTACTGACTTGGCCTGTACTGCCGCTGCCAACCGTCTGTCCCAATCTGATGGCCGTTCTTCCAACTCATTATCAGGGTTCATGATGTCATCTAGCCTTAAGTCCTTCTGCAAAACAATACATTTCTGGTAAGTAGCTTTCATTTTGTTTTGTAAATGTTTTAAGCAATCCTCTATGAGCATTCCAGTTTATTGGCTTTCAATTTTTTTTTAAAGTTTTTTGTGTGTGCTGAGAAATACTGGCCAAATCCTGAATCACTAAGATTGGGTTTTGTGTGGCCTCTAGAAGTTTTGTAGCTTCTCCTCTTAGGCCTGTGGTTAGCAGTAGTCAAAGGTCTGGGACTTGTGTTTTTGAGAGTCATTGCTAAACTGGCTCCGTGTCACACGAACCCTTGCCTTGCATACTTATTTCAAGACTCACACACTCCTGAAATCATGAGGGCACTGTTGCCAGCAGTGTAAGACAAGGCTCTTTTGAAAAGTTATCTTTTGTCCTCTTGCCAGCTCAGGTTATTTATTGTCTCAGAGCCCAAACCTATCATTTTCCAATCTGTGCTCTGTGAGAGCTTCTGGTTTATAGCCCAATGGTTAGAGATTGTCACTTCTGTCACGGTCCTCCAGCAGCTGAGGTCGAGCAGAACTGCAACCCCACCTCATACAGTTTCATAACTTTACCTTTCCCGGGGTGGTCTTTAGGGTATTTAAATTCTCCTTTTGCACTGTGCAAGTTAGGGTTGCCCCTTTAATTTTCTCCAGAGTGTCCCAGAGAGGGCAGTAGAGAGGGTAGACTGGGAAGGTGAGCACTATGATAAAACTCACTAATCTGCACAATTAATATGCTAATTATTGTCTTAGTTAGGGTTTCTGTTGCTGTGAAGAGAGACACCATGACCACGGTAATTCTTACAAAGGAAAACATCTAATTGGGTGGTTTGCTTACAGTTGAGAGGCTTAGTCCTTTATCATCATGGTGTGACATGGCCTCATGCAGGTAGACATGATTCTGGAGAAGGAGCGGAGAATGCTACATCTTTGATCTGCAGACAACAGGAAGTGAACTGAAATGTTGGGTGTGGCTTAAGCATATATGAGACCTCAAAGTCCACCCCCACAGAAGCACGCCTCCTCCAACAAGGCCATATCTACTCAAATAAAGCCACACCTCCTCATTGTACAACTCTCCGTGAGCTTATGGGGGGCCAATTACATTCCACTACCACAAGCAGGCAATGTGGGAAACACTTCCCCCACCAGGAAATGAGGACCCACATCACAAAGAGTTTGCTATCTCCTTGCTCAGGAGATATTCCTGGCCACACTTCCAGAACCAGGAATGGCAGGACTGGATGCCAGTTCCTCTGGTCCCAGGAACATTTCTCATCGGCATGCCCCATTTTCTCAGTACAGTCAATGGGACTGTCTCCTCATTAGGGTGGCTGTTTAAGGGTTTGAATCTCTAGAAAGTATTTGCTTTAGCTTGGTCCAAATGAACTGCAGCCACAGAGGCCACTGCACTTAGAACTTCATCTGGGACTGCAGCTTTGACTTGGAACAACTGACTACATTCTGCCTAATGATGGAGTATGAGCCTTCTTATAACATTGTGAACTTCATTTGTCACAGCATTCATCAAGCTATAATTACAGTACCTCATATGTTAGGAGTATTCCACATCTGCCTCTCTCTGAAATTCTGTCAGAAAACAGCTTCATCTGTCTTTTAAAAAAAGTATTTTATGTGTATGAGTGTATGAGTGTTTTGCCTGCATGTGTGTGTGTGTGTATATACATATACATATACATATACATATACATATACATATACATATACATATACATATACATATACATATACATATACATATACATATACATATACATATACATATACATATACATATATATATATATATGCACCAGGTGCATGCAGTGCCCATGGAGGCCAGAAGAGGGCACCAGATAGAGTGGAACTAGAACTACAGACACTTGTGGGCCTTCAGTTGGTGCTCAGAATCAAACTCGGGTCCTCTGCAAGAGCAGTCAATGCTCCTATCTGCTGAGCCATCTGTTTGTAACTGTGCCCTGAAGGTAAAGCTCCATACTCAATAAATATTTGTGGCATGCAGGGCAATGGTGGTGAATGACCTTAATCTCAGCACTTGAGAGGCAGAGCCAGCCTGGTCCTATGAAGAAAGTTCCAGGATGGCCATGCTACGCCAATCTGCCCCCTCCCCACAATATGATATAAACATTCAAATAAATGAATGTATTTCTATATGTTCTCAGCCACTGTCTAGGCATCTATACTGACCAAGAACCTACATTAGCAACTCTCCTGCCAAGACCATTGCTACAGTGTACGTCTTCCAGGGAGCAACTGTACTTACCAAGAGACTTTACATTCAGCATGAAGGCTGACTCAAAGTCCAGCCTGAGGGGCAAAACTACCAAAACACGTGACTCTCCAGCCCAGGTTCAGGCAAATCCTGCCTGATGCCCCATGTCCCGGACCTCCCACATTAGAGTCTTCATCTACAGCTCCTAAAATCAATTCTCATGAGTTCTGGACAAAACAGACCCTCAATAGATGCTGACGGATAACAAGCTCTTTATGCCTCTTGGGAAGCTGATTTTTAAACTGTCCCATAAACATGAATAGAAGGCAGAACTGCAGAACTGATGGGTTAGTAGGAAAAAATGCTTCCTGCTTCCAGTAATGTGCCAATCCCTGGCTGCGAGCATAAGTACCAGCCAGCGGGGTACAGCAGGTCAGTCATAAACAGTTCCTTAAACGATTACTCTAAAACGAATGTGACCCTTAGCACACCACAGAAAGTGAGCCTGACCATAAAAGTCATTAGAATATTCTCTCAGACTACCCTGGTCCTGGTTGAGTGAAACTTTCTGTTAGGTAAGGAAACCAAATACTAAGAGCACGTATTGAACTGACCTGTTAGAGTAGGGTAGTTAGAGACAAACATTTTGTAGTCAGAAGAGGGTTCAAATTCTACCTCTACTAAACACAGCTCCAGGAAATGTAGGAATGGGCAGAGAAGTAAGGGTTGTTATTGGTACCAACACTGTGCTGTTGACATCTCAAGGACAGAACATGCAGGTGTTGGGCTAATGCAGAATAAATGGTGGAGATGAGTCTTGTGGAAAACTCAGCTTAGGACTTGGGGAAAAGGAAAAATGACTTTGAAAGGGGAAATCAAAAGGAATGAAGGTCTGATGAATGCGGAGGTTCACGTTGGAAAGTCAGTGTCATCTTGACTCCTGTGTTCCAAAATTTTCTTGCCTGAGGAGGAGACCAAATGTAAAGATTTGCTACTCAAAATGTATTGGTGGCCCAGAAGCACTGTTGGAAGTTCTGATTCCAGGACCCGGCTTCAGAAGGGGTCTCTGAGGAGGGGACCCCAGAACTTCCTGTGTGGACTGACTTACAGAGCCCTCATCTGAGACCAAAGTTAGCTGAGTGAGTCCGTCTTTTGGTCATTTGTCTCACCTGTGGTCACCCTTTACTACATGATTCTAGATGTCTATTCCTACACAGAGAACGGGAATTCCACTCTAAGCCGTGACTGACAAAGCTTAACCGGCTGGAACTGCTTGCTGACAGGCAAAAGAAACCAAACAGCACAGAAGGAATCTGGTTGCAGACGAAGAACCAGTTACAAAATTGGAAGCATCTATCTCAGAATGGACAGGGTCCAAGGCAGGACCTAGGAAGAAGGAACAAATGGATACCTTCAGGGAAAACTGCTGTAGGAGATGACTTCAGTGACTTTCTGAGCTGTATCTTGGTCCTAACAAGAAATTCCCAAGAGAGAATCTGGTTGATCAAGGCCCAGTCGTATGAGAAACCCTGAAACCCAAACAGTTCCACCAACTAGGAGTCAGTCTTTCGAATATATGAGATCATGGAAGCCATTCCCATTCAGACCACCACGCATGTTAATACATTTTTAAATAAAGTTTTTTAGCACTGCATGAATTTATTGTATAAATAGTTGCAAGAAGAAGAAGCTTGCCTTTCTCTGTGATATCTGTTCATATTTTTATCCAGTGGGGACTTTGTATACACAGTAGGCATTTCACATACAGTGAATGATAGAATATTCACAGAGATATGTATGATTAGATACATGTAACATATAACATTATTATAATTTCTTTTCAGCTGACTAATTCTAAAGAGAAGCTGTCAAAGATATATAAAAACACTTGGTCAAGAGAGGCACCAAGCACATGGAAATCTGTAACTTGTGAAGTATCTCAATACCAATTGAATCAAGTCTAATGCCTTGGTGTTGATCCCACACTGGCCCTACCCAAGTAAAGTGAGACTCTATTCTGAGTTTTGAACCTGGGTGGTTTCAATTGAAACCAAGAGGTTGAGGGTGAAAATCAGAGGAAGAGTGCTTACTAAGCATGTGTATGGACCCCTCCCCCAAACCCAGCACCATAGTTTGTAAATAGTGAACCCATGACTCATTTATCTCTGGGGCCAGAACATCTTGTCCAGAAGTCAATGGGCAACATAAGAGATGTAGGAGTGGGGGTTGGGGCAAAAGTACAACAGACCCAAGACTTTGAAAAGTCATTTTGGGGTGTGCTGGAGGGTGTATCCACACTTTCTTAGAAGTCCTATTCCCTCAACAGGGCCTTCTTTTAGCAGGAGATTGAGGTATTCTCTTCTGAACTGAATTTGGACCCCACCACTCAAAGATAGACAGTCTAGTTCCAGCATCCAAGGAATCTCCCTTAACCCACATACTCCCCTGCCCATTAGCAGTGGCTAGAGTGTCTCTTCTGATGCCCAAGCCATTTAGAATGCACAGTTAGTCTGTGATTAATTTCCCTGCGCTCACCAGTGCTTAGCATTGTGCTTTTAATAAGCTGGTGCTGAATAAACACTTCCAAAAATGCTAAATGATATAAACTCTGACAACAACTGTGTAACTGACTGTGAGTACCTACTTTAGCAACTTTGGCTGGTTTATGCTTTGGGGTACAAAATGAATATGCTTTTACATGTTCCCCTTGGGGGATTATGAACAGAGAAGCAAAGCCTCTGGCACATAGTGGGTTTAAGAAATATTGATTGATTGAATGTATACTATATACTGTGTATGAATATATCTTTCCCTTCTATTTATTTTTAGCTGTGTTGAACCCAGAGCCTCATGCGTGGTAGGCAAGTGCTCAACCACTGGACTATGCTATGACCTCTGAGTGCATAAATTAACTGAAAAATGCATATACAGCATGGGCAGGAAGACAAAATGTGCAAATTAATGGAAAAATTGCAGCAATCCTCAAATCAAAATGAAAAACCAGTAGTGGGGCTTAGGGGTGGGCATGTCCATGTCACACTGAAATGCATTGAAAAGCCACCATTCCACATGCTGCAGGAAATAAATCTCCAACCTGTCACACTGGTATCACTACATGACACTACATAATGTGGAAGGTGCCTTCCAAAGTTTCTCAAGTTAACTTTCAAACTTACTTAAAATCTGAGATAAAGAAGCCTCTTTGGGGGAAGACTCTGAAACAGAATTTAGCTGTAAGCGCACTTTTATTCCCCCTTCTAAATTGCCCAGGTCAGAAGGCTCTCTGAGGTCTGGGTTTTCTATGAGGAAGATGTGCAAATGAGGAATTGAATGGTAAAGTCAGACCTTGTCTGGAACGTGGCCTCTCTGCTTTTTAATAGGCCTCTTTTCCATTTGGTTTGAGATAAAGTGGCCCCAATTATTTTAAAATCCTTTAAAGGAAAAGATATCCATAAATTACGTTGCAGGCCTCTCCTGGTTTCCCAGAGAAATTAAATTCTTACCTTAAATGACTTAGATCACATGCACAGAACTAGACAAAACTCCCTTCTGTTGCGTTACAAAAGACAGACCCAGCAGCACAGAATTTCGGAGCTAAAAAGATAAATAGAAATAGATATAAACACACCCCAGCAGCAAAATTCAATAGCAAGATCAAAGCTAAACTTCCTCCTGCACAGAGTTCCCCTTAAGATTTTTTTCCCCTCTTTTGCACCATAATCTGAGCCTCCGAAACGTTGGTTCCTATTCAGCCTCAAGATCAAACAGCTCACACACATCTGCTGGGGTGGAGGTTTCCTTCTTTCTTTTTTAAAGGCATTCAATAATTGGTGGGGTGAGGGGAGAAGGGGAGATTGAACATCAGCATAAAGACAACAGCAAAACACACCACCTCACTCCTGCCCATGCAAATGATGGCCGTGGGAGAGGGCTGTGTGGACGTATTTGTGAGAGGTAATGCCAGCACACTCCAAGAGGAGTTTTGTTTTGTTGTTGTTGTTTTCATATTGTTTGCCCTAGCACTGAACATGACCTGTTTTGTCTGTTTCTTTTTTTTTTTTTAACTGAAAAAAATATCACTTTATTTTATCTCTTTCCAAATGGAAATCCATCCTGGACCTGTTTCAGAGCAGGATAGGCAAAGGCCGGGCCTGGGGCTGTGACAGAGACAGCTGCAGGCCCTGCACACGGGCAAAGGCAACTGAAGGTGGCATGGCCCACAGAGGACAGAGGGGGAAAGCCAGAAATGCTGAATGATGCCCCGGAAGGAAGGCTTCCTAGAGGAGGCAGCCTTCAGAAAAGGTCTTAGGGACAGTGGTATTCTACTAGTAGGCATGTCTGAGGCAGAAGGACCTAGTATGAGTATTTGTTTGGCAGAAAAACTAAAGAATGAGGTTTTAGGGAGATGGCTCAGTCAGGAAGTGCTTGCTGTATGAAAACCTGAGCTTAGCCGGCTGCAGCAGGCATGGGTGTAATATCAGTGCTGAGAAGGCAGAGGCAAAAGATCTCTCAGGAACTTTCTGGACAGGCAGACAAGTTCAGTAGATGAGCTCCAGATTCAGTGAAAGCCTGTCTCAAAAAATAAGGTGGAGAGTGACTAAGGGAGATTCTCAACCCCAATCCCTAGCCACAGGCATGTGTACTCTGCAGCCCCCGCCACCCCCACACACACACAAAGAAAAGTAAATTCAGGAACGCTCACGTGCCTAGGTAACTGGTATGGTATGTAGAGGCTGGGATGGGAGACACCATGGAGACCAGTGGCAATCTTGGCAGTAGAATAAAAGATTAAAGCCACCATTTATTACAAGGTGGTATTTGTCTGCTCTTAAGTTTATCTTCTCTTCTATCCCAGCTACTCCTTGTCCTCACGCGTTCTTGACCTTGTTTCTGAACAGGAAGATTTACAGCATACAACTGTCCTCTGTCACAGATGCAAATGAAGAAGAGTCTCCCCCTACCCCACTGCAGGTGACAAAAACTTCAAAGTAGCCTCAGAAGAACCAATCTAAGTGAACCCCAATAGACGAGATGTCCTAATCATTTCTTCTTCATTTTCTATGGCCTTTCTGTTATTTCAGGGTCACTGCTGGCTTCTGAGATTCTCTTACTCAAGTCACCCCAGGGTGAGTCTCTTGTTTAGTCTCATTGAGGAATGCTAAACTGACTGTAACAAATCACCCCCAAATCTCAGAGGCTCCATACAGTGTTTATTTCTTGCTTGGGCAAACACTATGCCCTTTAGCTCTTAAGTGGCTGTCTGCAAGCTACCTTGGGAGTCTGGGATGCTTCCATTTGCGACTAGCTTCCCTTTCATGGACTCAAATTCTTCAGTTACAAGAAGGCGCCAATGTCTCTGCCCATGTAGCTTATAGCACTATGGTGGTTGTCAAATGCTTAGTAATCATGACAATTATAAAAGCCAGTAACATATATTAAATTCTTATTATCCAGAAGACACTGTACTGTATGTTTCATGGACATACACTATCACAAAGTACCACCACTGTTGCTCTAATTGGAAAATGAGAGGGATATTTGCACCCAATGGAAATACAATGAAAGCGTGTCTGGCTCCTTCCCCCATTAAGCTTTGCATGCATTGATCTTCCTTTTAGTGATACTCTTGGCCCAGATGTGAAGGTAGTTTACTCCCCACCTCCATTGCGGTATCCAGCTTCATGTCATCTTAGAGAGGGTGATCACGGCTCAGTATACAGGTGCTTAAGAAATAAGTATTGAGCGTGTGGATCTACCTTCACACTGCAAGTCACTACAGGAAAAATAGTCCTGTGTGTTATTTTCTCTTTTGTCTGTACATAGCTATAGCAAACCACGGGACCACCAAATCCAGAACGTTGACATTCTCACAGCCTAGCATGGAGAAACCCACCAGCTGCAGCCTGTCAGCTCTCCTGGTGAAAGAGGGGTGGGGGTGGGGAGTTGCTCCTTCTCTGCCAGGCCCCAGGCATCTGGGTCGCCTGCACAAGCCATAATCAAATCATCATATCTAGCCAGTGTCTCCTGGATCCTGTCACTTCTGAATGAGAAAAAATTTGCTGACAAATTTCTATCAGCAGGAAGTTGGTGCTCTCCTGCAAGGCTGGATGAAAAGCACCTGTGACATCAACAGTCTCCCTCCTTCCCCCTCCTATTGGAAGCTTTGAGGTTGCAGGGTTCTCTGTTTAGGCCCAAGTAGCCCACCTACCCTTCTGAATCCCGTTCAGGCCCTGCAACTGTTTGGACTGCACGGAATGAGCCCAAAGTTTCCTAATTATGAGTCTTGCTGTCTTGTGCCGATCAAAAAAGAGGCTCTGCCCCAAATCAAGAAGCCAACGGCACCAGTAAACCCTGGCCTCGCCATTGTCCCCACAGTCAGGAGCATTTATTTGATTGAGTGCCAGGACAGTTCGTTGTAACTTATAAAAGCCCTGGTTTGAAGGAAGGGCTACCTGGCCTCTCTATATGCCTGACGGTTTTCACTCTGTAGCAAAAACTGTGAGAAAACAAACCAAAAAACACTTCTCACTCTTCATCAGAAAGATTTTCCCCCATAACAGAGAATTTTGCTGGAGAAAAAAAGAGCTAAAAGGATAAAGATATTGGTAGAGCGTAATGCCATAAATCTGATTAATTTACCTTGTGACACTCATCACAAAAAAGTTAAGGGTCAGAGTCTTGCCTGAGGACTGACCTTTCACCAGCAGCCAAGGCGGTCACAATGGGGGTCTACAGGCCTTTCACAGCTACCTGCTGCTTTGCACAATGCAATTGGACACAGTGTTCAACATGATGGAGAATACCTCAGAGCTCAGCCCCTTGTTCTGTGTCTGTGGACTGGACAGCATCCAGGACAGGACAGCATCTTCACTTTCCAGATGGGACCAGACAAGAGCCACCTTGGGGATACAGGGTCAGAAAACACAAATAGAGAGCTCTCGATGGCGCATGTGCAAACTTATAGTTACTATCTTATAGACTATCCAAAGATGATCAAGTCTGGGTCCTTCCTTAAGGAAACACAAGGGATCACATTGTTGTCTATATAGAATACAGTCGGTGCCTAATGTATGGAAGGTCCTTTTGTAGACTTCACAGGGTGACTAATGGAGACTTGTGATAGTAAATGACGCAAGAGAAGATAGGCAAGAAAAGCATCTAGCCCCCCTAGTCTGGGAAACGCAGGCTGGTGCTCCTGTCACTCTTTGCTTCCTGTTTCATTCGTGTTTAGAGAGGGTTCCACAACCCCTGAAGTGACCTTGGGTTCCTGATCCTCTTGCTGCAGCCTCCTGGATCCTAGGTTTCAAGATAGAAGCCACAACATGTTGCTGCATCTCCTGCATTTCATCAGTGCACCAAAAGAATGCTGAAGATACGGTCCCTCTGCTGCCATTCACATTTGGGTTTTAAAGCTACCTCTGACTGAGCAGTCTTGTGAGGCATGACTAGCTTGTCCTAGGCGCCCCACCCCACTTCCCAGTTGTGGTGTTGCTGCCTGGGAACATCTAGGACACTTCCAGAGATTTCCGTGTCCCTGCCTGTTGCCACCCTGTGCTGCCAGCCTCGCTTGCAGCCTTCTGGCTTTGTTTTTCATCTTTGCCTTAGCGGGATGTGTTAAGGGAGGGAGCATCTGGTAGAATGACACCACGGAATGGGAACCAGACGCCCAGTCAAGCGCCACCAAGAGCTGTCTATCCGTGGAATTCACCTTTTGTTCAGCATTTGCTCTGAGGTGGGCTTGGGCTGGGCTTTTAAACTCACATCCTGCCCTGTGTCTCCCAGAGGCCCGGTGGGTTCTGCTGCGTCAGCGATTCACACGCCTGGCAGAAGCGGTTCCGAGCAGCCGGCAGCCAGGAAGACTTGCAGCATCCCCTTCTGGCAGTCACTTTCAGTTCCCTAGAGATTTATGGCAGCAGCAGATGGGCCCAGGTGGACTCAAGTGAGAATCTCAGACAGGCTCAGCTCCTCTGCCCACTGAAATTGTGTCTAGACAAGAGGCAAGGCTGATGCGCCTCCCAAATTCACTTTGAAACAACTCAGAAGTGTGAAAGGGATTTACAGCCACAGGAAGGTCTGGAGCGTCCAGGCAAGACACCAGGATTGCTCTGGGGGGAAGGAGCAAAAGGAGGGAGGGGAAAGGGAATGAGGAAAGAAAAGAGGACACTTAACGGAGATGGCGAATGCTCACTTAGCGCAGACCCCATTCATCCCCACGGTCTGTCTCCCAGGTGGTGATGTGCACTGGTCGTCTGGCAGACTATTCACCATGGTCCAGCTCTAAAAGAAAACAACACCACCACGTGTCAGTCTGCAGAGGGTCCCTCGGTGCTGGGCACAGTCCTGGTGGGAGCAGTGGGAGCAGTTGGTGGCTTGGATAGGTTTCCACAGGAGCCCCAGATAGAAAACAGGTCAAAGTGCCTCGGCACTGGTGGTTGAAGAAGTAGGTGGCCAGGGGCCCGGCTTCCTGGTACCTTGCTGCCACCTTTCCCCCATAGTGGGCCCACCTAAGGGGAGAACCCTGAGAAGAGGGAACTCATGAGTTAGTTTGGGCCCTGGCAGGAGCCACTCTTTCCCCACACGCTAGGAGAGCTGTATTTCTGGGTATTTGACCAGAGAAGAATGCAGGCTGCTGCAATCAGAGGCGGAACAGAAGGAAGCAAGCTTGGGGCTGCCCCTCTCCCTGGCACAGACACATTCTCAAGCTGTAGTATGCGGCATGTGACCAAAACTTCCTGGAACTGTCCCAGGCCCCAGGCCCAGATAACCAGGCTTCATCTGGGTGCCATGTGTCCGGCATCTTAGAGATTTCATTTTACATTGAAAATATAAAAATCATACTAAGGGGAAAACTGACTTCATTTATCTATTTTATGCTTATTAAAAAAGGTTTACTCATTACTTATAGACTTTTTTTGGTAGAAAAACAAGAAAGTACAAGAAAACAAAACTAGATAATCATCTGTATGTTCTCCAAGAGGCTTATGGCTTGATGCTGGTATTGGGGGGCCATCTTCAATAGGATAAATGTGACATTTGGGAAAGTACATTTTAGTGAAGGAATTGGTGAGAGACTAAGATATATTTTGAATACACACACACACACACACAAATGTGAACAAAACATTTTGGAATACAATTTAGTCTAGCAATTTAATATTAGCATCTGGAAAGACCCTGGTTTGTCAGTTTGGTGGGGAATATAAAGAAAAACCCAAAGAGCAACTTGAAAAGAGTAGTTACAGAAAGGATTGTTGCAGTGGCCCAGGCAAACAGTCCCAGCATTCCAGAGGGCCAACATTTATCACCCATGAAGTTCAGATAATGTAAAGGGCAACCTGGGTCGGGGAACTTTCCGGAAGGGTATCTGAGGGTGAAGGAAAGGGAAGGCTCTTCAGTGAACTCCACGAGGCAGTCAGCGGTGAGGGGAAGAAGGCCAGAGAGCTCTGCCAAGGGCTGTGATGTGGCCGCAGGGCTGAGAGGAAACGGCTCTCCCAACCTACTATTAAAGCAGCTGTGGTCAGGCTCTTGGTGACAGCTCAGCGCTGGCACGGAACACAAGACGCTGGCTGCCCCCCACCCCCAGCAGTTAGGATTAGTGGGCATAGACACTAAGAATACACCCTGCAAACTCACTCTAGCAGCTTAACTGTTATGTGCCCACACATTATTCTCTTGCAGCTCAGAGTTATACCTTCTTTTCTATGGCTGGAATCGTGCTTAAAGTTTTCCACCTCCCCATAGGGTTACATGAAGTGCAACACACAGACCTTAGATGCTTATTAAAGTTTGGAAAATGAGTACACCACGAGGCCCATCACCCAGCCAGAAACAGAATATTTCCACCTCTCAAGAAGTTTCCTTCATGGCCATTTCTAGTGTCCCTCTGTCTGCATATAGCACGAAGCAGATTGGATTTGTTTCTCTACAATGTCACATACGTGGAATGAAGTACTGTGTCCTCTTTTCTGGCTGGCTTCCTTTACTTGGTGTGTTTTTGTGACTTGTGTTATTGTATGCACCGGTAGTTTGTTCTTCTGTTGTTGTTGTTGTTCATTCGGAATATTGCTTTGCTGCAATACCACAATTTGCTGTCGGTTCCCACACCTATTGTTGGACATCCAGTTTCAGCCTCTATGGATAAAACTGCCATAAAAAATCCTGTGGAAGCCAATTCAAATTCACCTGATTTCATTCTTCCAGTGCAAACATCCGCTAATGGAATTGCTGGGTGGTAGGGCAGAGCTATGGTAAAATTCCAGACAGATTTCCAGTGTGCTTGTCCAGAGTTTCACACTCCAAGTAGAAGTCCAAATATGTTTCAGCACACAAACACCTATACTTCCAGGAGGGCATAGGCTGAGGCAGTGTCCCCGCACAGGCCATATGGGAGCAGTAACAGCTGACATAGCTGTCATTTCCTCCCTTACTGAGCAAACCGCTTGAACAGATGATGTCTGAGATGTCACTAGCTCTGCAATGACACAGACTCATCCACCTATTTTTAGGCAAGAAAACATTAGTGACTATCCTGGTTAACAATTGTTATCTACTTTGCAACTCAGGAATGGAGTTATTTGATGCGCCATCTAACAGCCTCAGACCCTGACTCAACATATAACACTTTGTGTTGGTTGGTTTTATGTCAACTTGACGCATGCAGGAATCGTTTGGGAAGAAAGACCCTGAATTGAGAAAATGTTCCCATCAGATAGGCTTGTGGGTAAGCCTTCACTTTTCTTGATTAATGCGGGAGGGCCCAGCTCACTGTAGGTGGCATCACCCCTGGGCTAGTGGTCCTGGGTGTTATAAGAAAGCAAGGTGGACTAGCCTTGAGAAGCAAGCCAGTAAGCAGCACTCCTCCACGGCCGGCCGCTTCAGTTCCTGCCTCCAGGTTCCTGCCCTGTTGAGTTCTGGCCCCGACTTCTCTCACCAGCAGAGTTGGGGGTGGAGGTTGCAACCTGAAATAGGCCTTTTCTTCCCCAGGTTGCATTTGATGACAGTGTTTTATCACCGCAATAGAAACCCAACTAACTTTAACCACAAAGAAACATTATTGACTCACAGACTACTGCAAGTCCAGAGGCCAAGGCTGGGTTCAAACAAGGAATGAGCAAGCTTCTGCCACACTTCCTCATGTTCTCCTGGCTGTGTCCGCCTCTCTTTGACGATTTCATCCCACCCTTAGTTTAGAAATAAAAGGCAGCAGTCTAACCCTCCCTTCTACACACACACACACACACACACACACACACACACACACACACACAAACACAAACACACAGAAGAGAAACCACCATTGCAGTGGGACTTTCTTATGAACAAGGGATCTTCTGTCCCAGAAAGTTCTGGAAAACTCCTTTTCATGTCTCATCAGTCTATATTAAACTGTTTATATCCCGTTCCCAACCAACCTCCACAGGCAGGATAGTGCCCTGAGATTACTGCTGTAGGGCTGGAGTCCTGGGTGATCAGTGGCTGAAGTCCTAGGTGGCCAATGACTGGGAGTCCTAGATTGCCAATAGTTGGGGTCCTGGTAGCGGGTATCAATGGCTGGAATCCTGGGTGGGGTTGTCAATGGTCTAGTACACTTACTAGTTTTACTAATGAGAACAGATGAAGCCATTTTCCCCTAAAGTGCTATATGGAAATTGACCAAAACAGGTCCTTCGAAGTGGAGAGGGACAAATACTTGATACACAACTCGACCCTGAAGTCTTCTTCACAGGTAGAGAAAGTCATCACATGCTCCTCACAGAGACCCATGGAATCCTAAGGGACACCCAGAGGCCTGGGCCGACAGCAGCTTGGGAAGTGTGGCAGGTTGAATGGGATCATAAACACCTTTCAGCTTTTCCTATCCTTGGCAGGCCTTCCCACCTCCTTTGAACCTAGGCTGGCCTTGCTCTGATCCACAGAATGCGGCAAAAGCAGCCCTGCATACGCTGTCCGACGTAGGCGCTAAGAGGTCTTGGGTACTGTCCCTACTCTCTTGCATCACCCCACACCGTATCAGGAAACTTACCTGAGTGATAACAGATCACACAGCTGACTGCCAGCGCCAACGTCCTAACTGTGCCGGTGAGCTCCCCTCACGCCTCCACTTCCAGTCAAGTTGGCACATGACGTGGTCACATGAGTGACTCAGGCAACACCACACAGCTGAGCCCAGCCAATCAGTGGAGCTGGGAAGGAAGAGTAAGGCACTGTTGTAAGCACTATCTTTGGGGTAATTTATTTAATAATAATAGGTGAATGAGCCAGGAAACCCTTTGAAAACTCTTCCAGTCTTCCCAGATTGTTTATACAGAATAACTTTTTGTCGACTTGTCACAAACTAGGGTCATCCGTGAAGAAACCTCAACGGAGAAAATGCTTCCATCAGATTGGCCTGTAGGCAAGACTTGGGAACATTTTTCTAGATTAATGAGGGAGAGCCCAGGCCACCATAGGCAGTGTCACCCCTGGTCAGGTGGTCCTGGAGTATAATAAAAATATCTGGATGTGAACTTGAGGCACACTCACTATTACCTGTGTTTGAAAGGACCATTCCATTTTTTTTTAAACTTGACTGCTGTCCAGCTATAAACAACAATTCTGCCTTTGGGATGCTCCGATCCTTGGTCCCTGGTCCCTCCCCCAGGGAGGCGCTTCAGCCATCTGTAGTCACTCTCCGACATCCCAACTAAGCAGTCCGGATTCCCAGCCAAGGAAGGTGGCTTAGAGCAGCTCACGGGCCATCTCAACAACCAGATGATGCTGTGAGAGCGTCCGGAAATAGCGGGCCTCGGTCAGAGCCTCCCCTAGGGGGACTACACCAGTCCTCTGAGAAAACCAGCTAGTTTGTTCAGTGTAGACTAGCTTTGGGGAAAGCAAACAAACAAGCAACAAAAAAACCTGCTTGATGGGCTGAAAGGGAACTGCAAAAGGAGGAACTCAATATGCAGGTGGTACAGACCCAGGAGCTAGCCAGTGTGCTCTCTCTCTCTCTCTCTCTCTCTCTCTCTCTCTCTCTCTCTCTCTCTCTCTCTCTCTCTCTCTCTGTGTGTGTGTCTCTCTCTGTCTCTCTCTGTGTCTTTCTGTCTCTCTGTCTCTGTCTCTCTCTGTCTCTGTCTCTCTGTCTCTGTCTCTGTCTCTGTCTCTCTGTCTCTCTCTCTCTGTGTGTGTGTGTGTGTGTGTGTGTGTGTGTGTTGGGTTCAGAGAGGGAAGAACAGGATGTGGCGGGCAAAGCGTTAGCTGGAGAGGGATGTGCAGAGCAGAGGTGGGCAGGGAGAGAAACAAACAGTGCTCCTGTCTCCAGGGAGGGGAGCCAGCTAGGACAGAGCTTCTGGTTGCTGGTTGCTTTTGTTTCACAGTAGCAAGGTCTGTGACTGACAGGTGATACAACCCAAGAATTCTGTGTCCTGCATGACTGACAGTAAGGAGACAGACTCAATCTGGCTGGGCCTCAGCCCCAGTTCCCTCCTGCAGAGACCCCCGGGACTGCAGTGAGGCAAGCTTCCTCCTTCCAGCCTGGGGGCTGTAGTGTGTGTGTGTGTGTGTGTGTGTGTGTGTGTGTGTGTGTGTGTGTGTGTGTTGGGGTCTGCATACCTGTGTGTGTGTTTTTGTGTAAGTGTTGGGAGGTCTGAAGACCAGTGTGTGTGTGTGTGTGTGTGGTGTGTATGAGAGAGAGACAGGGGCCTGGAGCCCAGTGTGTGTGTGTGTGTGTGTGTGTGTGTGTGTGTGTGTGTGTGTGTGTGTGTGTGTATGTGTGTGTGTAGCAGTCTTAGATATCCAGGGCCTGGACCACATCTCTTTGTTCTCCTCATGCTGCAAAGCACACTTAAGTACAGGACTTCTAGGCGGCCTTGATAAATATTTGTCTCAAGGGCTTTGCTGCAGTCAAACAGAAACTGCAGATTGACACTCTGGGCTGAGATTAGGTCAGGCTTCTCCTTCTCAGGCCCTTCCCACTGACACCTGGCACCTGGCCTCCCATCTCCACCTCTGTGAGTCTCAGCCTTGAAGGTGGGTTCTGGGGAAGGAGGGGTGGGCATAGTGTATTGTGGGGAAGGACCTGGAAGGTGGCTGCAGAGCCCGACACTAAAGACGATCCCCCACCCCCACATCCCTTCTCGGTGCCCTACTTTAAGGCAAACAGAGCTCACAAGCCCAGGGTCTGTGTGGTGGGGGAGGGGGACACTCCACAGGAGGAGGAAAACAGCCATTCAAGGAACAATAGTGCTGGAGAGGTCTACACAGTAGGCAGCAGACCATCCTGAGCCCGCATCTGACTCCCACCTACCTTTTCTCCTTCACGAAAACTAGGCCTTACTCTACTTTTCTCCATCAGCCGAACCTGTCATTCGGAGCTGCTCCTACATGCCCCCTGTTCTGACACACCAGGAGTACTGTGCTTTCCTGAGAGCAAGCATGGTCCCCTCTGTAAATCAGTCCCTAGAAGTCAGTCAGACAACCAACTGCAAACAGACCAGCCTAACTGTGGCCCCCGGGGAACCGCGGTGGAGCTTGAGACAGAGCTCATGTGTACACTCAGGGTAAAACTTAACGAGTTAGCTGTGTGTGCAGGCTTGTGTGAGCGCAGGGGTGCAAGCCCTTTATGAGGTCGCTATTGCCACAGTTTGTCTCAAAACTATGAAGTCACAGAGACAAGGTGGATAGAAACGTGCCTTTTACTTAGAATGAGACAAGCTTTTCTTTGTTTGTAAATTCTGATTTATTTGTTTGCTTGTTCACGCCTCTGCCTCTCAAATGCTGGGATTAAACACATGCCCCCACACTTGTCTCCAAACTATTACTTTTTAAATTAACTCTAAATTGTTAGACTAGCTGAGGCTGGAGAGGTGGCTCGGTGGCTAAGAGCACTGGCTGCTCCTCCACAGGACCTGGGTTCAGGGTCCAGGGACTCTATTTTTAACACTCCATTCTGTCCTTCATAGGCGCCTGGAACACATTTAGACAAAACACCCATACACGTAAAAATTTTTTTATTAATTTTTTAAAAGTTAGATTATCCTTTAATTTGGTGAGGAAGGATGCAATAAAAATTATGGCACTGGATTTCAATACCAATTATAAAACAGAGGTATCTTCCTCCAGGGAAGCAATAATGTTTAAGGTGGAGAAAGAGTCCTGGAATATGCAGATGACTTACCGAAAACTCACAGACATACTTTTTGTTTGTTTGTTTGCGTCTTCAGGGTCACAAGGCTGCTGGACCGCACTCTGAAATCCAACTCACAGGTCTCTGGCAAAGAAACAGTGGAGTGCTCTCTCAGTGCCAGGAAGTGCCGGGTCCCAACATCTAACTGCTCCCACTTCCTGCTTCCCCCACCCACCAACCGGCCAGGGCCAAGAGGGCAAAACAGCCCCAAGGGCCACGTGCAGAGGTGCATGGAGCACCAGGCAGAAAGCTCTTGGAGGCATTCCTTCTCTTATCTTGATGATGGGGTGTTCAGTGCCCTTTGTGTAACCCCAGAAGGCTTGCGTTGGAGGCAAAGTTTGCAAAAATTGTCTCCGGGCTGTGGCCTTTGCAAAGGCTTTTGCAAAGATTAGGACTGTTTGATAATCAGATAGACTTGGGGCTGAAAGGGACTTTAGAGTTTACCTACTTGGCCCTCTGCCGTCTCCACCCCTCCCCTTCATGTGTGTGTGTGTGTGTGTGTGTGTGTGTGTGTGTGTGTGTGCTGTCTGTCTGTCTGTCTGTCTGTCTGTCTGTCTGTCCCTCTCTATGTGTGTCTCTGTGTGTGTTTCTCTCTGTTTCTGTCTCTGTCTTTGTCTCTGTGTATGTCTCTCTGTCTCTATGTGTGTGTCTATGTGTGTCTCTGTGTGTGTTTCTCTCTGTTTCTGTCTCTTTGTCTCTGTGTGTCTCTCTATGTGTGTGTGTCTCTTTCTGTTTCTGTCTCTCTCTGTGTGTGTCTCATCTCTCTCTCTTTGTGTGTGTCTGTCTGCCTGTCCCCTCTCTCTCTCTCTCTGCAAGAGGGAGTTGCAGCTCACATAGGAACCATGAATCACCCAAGCACTTTTAGGGACATTCACAACCAGGGCAGTCTGGGGACTTTTTTTCTGAACAGATTACAGGTCCTTCCACTGTGACTCCTCACCTTGGCATTCCAGGCTCTTCATTCCTAGTCAGTTTCTGATCCCTCATGTTCTTACACACCAGCCTGGCTGACTTTTTTCATTTGCTTAAAAAATTGCTTTCTTATGTTCATTTAATATGTCTGTGCACTTCACATGCAGAGTGGCAACCAGCTCTTTCCTGGCAATATATGTAGGGCCCTGTTATGAAGCTCTGGCCATCAGGCTTGGCGGACAGACATACCCTCACCTGCTGGGCCATCTTGTCAGTCCCTGCCTTGTATGTTTTGGCAAGGCCTCCTTATGTATCTCAGGCTAGCCAGAAACTCACTGTATAGCCAGGCTGGCCTGCTCCTGCCTCAGGTGGCTATGCACTGGGATTCCAGGTTCATTTCACCACACCAGTATTTTTGGCATTTAGTTTTTTGTTTTTTTAAAAATCGCATTCAAGTGGCAAGAGCTGGCATGCACTACATGCCTCTGAAGTCATACACAGGCTCCCTCTTATCAAACCCTCTACCAGCTGGGTGAGTGCACCATCCTCACCTTACATCTCGGAGGGCAAGTGAGCCAGTGACTCTTTTCCGAGTGACTCTTTGAGTGAACCAGCCATCCTAGCCATTTCCTATGGGTTCAGGTTGACTGTTCCCTGATCTTCCTCTGGCTGGCGCTGTTCTCTATGCCTGCCTTTTCTGCTCACAGGGTCCAGCTCACTCTTCCCAATCCATCGCACCGTTTTACAAGGCCTCCTGGAGGTCCTACACTTCATGCCTAATACAGCAAAGGCTTGTGGGTACCTTTCCCTTTGCACTCTGCTCTGGGACACCCCAGGTTGACCACAGTTATTTCTTGTACCTTCTCAGTACTCATTCCACACAACACATAGGATAGTTTTAAAAATACCTACCAGGGCATGTGACTCAAACATTCCTAAGTGTCGAGTAAGCACCCTTACCAAGGCCTCCCTCACTCTCTGACTTGTGGCCCTGCCTGTGGCCCCAATATGTCATGAATATGCTTGCTGTGAAACGGTCACCGATTCACAGAAAGCCCTGGATATCCGTCCGGCTCCTTTTCTATTTCCTTCAGGTTCATTTTC